TGAAAAAGGAACAAGAACCGGTATACGGACCGGCCCGTTATACGTTCTTGCCAAGAAAAATTAAAGGTCGCTTGCCTTCCTCTTCTTTTCCATTTTCACTTTCTTTTTTTTCAGTTTTTCTTTCTCCGTTCGCATTTTTTCTTTCCTTTTTTCTTCTTCTTCTTATTCTTCCGCGTTTGACCTCGAATATTTCATGTTCAGGATCGTCGTCCTTCGATATTATTCTATCTTATGTCAATTTATTAACTGTTATATGTCAGTTTATAGGGAATTCTTTGAATTGGCGTACGTTTAATATGAACGTGATTAGAAAATATGTAAAATTATATAGAAAAAAAAAGAAAAGAAAAGAAAAAGAAAATTATTAATACACGCTGGTTGGACTATTAAATAATTTTTGATTATTAAATAATTTCTAAAAATAATAGGGACTGTAAAACAAGTGGTATGTCCGTTATACGGATATAAAAGTTAACACTGAATATTTGGAAAATATTTTGAAAAAATCCGAACTATAGCGATTTTCTACCGAACGCGTTTCCATTGGAAAAATATGCGATCGTCCAGTCAATATTAAATTTCTCTCTGAAGAGACATTAGACCGACGCGAATCGTTCGAAATTATAAATTTTAATGCAAACAATCGGACCGATTGGGGATAATCGATTAAAAATACGGCTTTACGTATTTTATCCATACAATAATCGGGATATTAAATGGTTTACGCCGTTCATCCCGGTAGGATCGCCTACATTCTTCTATGATAAATTTAAAATTCAACTGATAATGAAAGAGCGACATCACCGAATCCCGACACGATAATGATGGAGCATTGCGTAATGAAATATTTTATTGAACGATCGGGCTCATGTCGTTCATTAATAAACGAAATCGAAAATTACCTGGATATCAACGATAATAGTGATGCTGATATCTTTCATTATGATTATCACACAGTTTCCGATTCTCATTTTAACGATCGATTGGGATCATTAATTATTTTATGTACGTCACGTTGTTGTCCGAATTTTAGTTATAGAATTGATATAGCGATACAATAGAAAAGAAGAAAAAAAAGTACAAACGAAAGATCGTCTACTCATTACGTGAAGTCATATGTATACGACAAAATGAAATATCATTATGTTTATAATAAGATTCTCTTACGTACTCATGTAAGAGAAGTGCTTTAATACAAATAGAAGTTCAAACTGTTTTAATATAAATTATCCACTTTGTATACTGGATATATTTCGGCATAAACAACTATATATAATGTATTACAATGAAAGCTTTGAAGGTATAGAGACAAAGCACGTATCTTGTGAGAAGGATCGAGAGCAATAATAACACAAATCCGTTTTAACAGAACTCAAGTGCAAAGCGCATAACAAATCGTGCTTCTGTCTCTCTGTTTCTCTATCTTTCTCTCTATCTTCCTCTCTCTCTCTCTCTCTCTCTCTCTGTCTCTGTCTTTCTCTTTCTTTTTAACCCCTTCCTCTTGTTTCCAAGTCAAACGATCTCGGCTTTCGAAAGCGTCAGTCTTTGGAAGCTTTAACCGTCGAACGAATCAAAGTTTCCGAGCTCACGGTATCGAGCCGCCTCGGGGTAATCCACCGTAAATAATGCAGGTCGCTCCCGTGACGTGACTTCTGGACGTGTCGACGTTCCACGCGCGAAAACTCTTGGTTAAAAGTAGTTGAGCCCTTGGCTAAAAGTTCGAAAAGCCGACCACCACCAACAAAGTTATTGCCACCAACGGCAGTCTGTTCAACTATCGCCACCTATTCGATGCTTTTACATATATACGTATATAAACAGATACACACACAAACACATAAACATATACACAGGCACGCACGCACGCACGCATACAAACCTGTATATACAAGTGTATATGTGCATTTATATATACATACATAATATCGAGAGTAAATATAAGAAAGAGATAGAGAAAAAGATCGTCCTCAAAATTCTACGTTTACGAACATTACGTTAAAAGAAAAAACAAAGAATCCATCTATTCCCGTCATCGATGTCGACTTAACTAAGATTTCGTTGGGATAGGAAAGTTTTATAGCTCCGTGCCGGTCGCAAGACTTAAAGTAACCGAGAGTAGAATAGAGAGGTCGCAAGGTAGATATTCGAGAAAACGATAGCTACGGGTAAGAAAAGCAAGGTACAGTAAGCAGAAGGCACGGTGGATTAAGGCAAAAAGGGAGGTGGGATAGGAGGTTAGAGGTAAAGAAGAGGACTCAGTGAAGAAGGAAATGGCTCGACCTGAATATTTTCACAACGAACTTTTCTTTGAATACAGCATGCAACGGTGGCACGACACGCGCCCCCTTCAGCATACGAAACACAGTGGTTATCCTAGAGAATCGGAAAGACGCTGCCTTAGAAAAAGAGAAAAGGAGGTCACGTGCCGCCGTTTGACGACGACAACTATGAAGACGAAGACGAAGACGAAGACGAAAACGACGACGGAGAAGAATAAATTCCAAAGTTTTAAACTCTCGAAAGGGAGGTACCAAGAATACACGCTCATCAACGACGTTTTCTATTTTAACATCTTTTCCTTTTTTTAACGATCCTTCGTTAAATCGACGTCTTACGTTCTTTATGAAAATCAATTCAACGAACGGATTTTCATATTTTCTTATTTTTCTTTCTCTCTCTCTCTCTCTCTCTCTCTCTCTCTCTCTCTCTATCTATCTATCTATCTCTCTTGTGTAAAGAAAAAAAAGAAAGAAAAAAGGATAAAAAAAAAAGGAAAAATCATGAAAGTAATTTTATATATGGAAAAGGAATAAAGAGGATGGGGGCCAAGTAAAAAGGAGTTTTAAAAACAACGAGAAATGATATTTAACTTTCAAAGTAAATTTGCAACTTTGGTTACATTTTTATCTCTCATTGAAAACACAACTGGAATGAAAGAAAAGTTCGCGATCGCCGATCTTCTGAAAGTCCCGTCCGCCTTTTTATTACCTACTTGGGTGAATCGTTAGAAGTGGTTAAGTATTCTCACGAGAGGTACTCTGTTTTTCTTACGGTATCTTTAAGAACGTATGATCGACGAGTACCGGGAGTATGAATTTGAACTTAATCGTATTTCTTTAGCATTGAATTTAAACCCGAGTATCACTATAATGAGCTTCCTTTTCGTTTTCTCATCAAATATCGAAGGGATTTAAATAAATATAAAGGAAGGAATATAAGGATAACACAAAGAGGGAAAGTACAAGAAGGTAAAAGAAAAATTTCAATTTTATGAGCTAACTTGGCGATAGTCCGAGAAACTGTAGAAGGAATTGTTAAGCAAAGACTGGGATCGAATTTACGATGCAAAATGAATTTGGACGGATTTTTGTATTTTAGATTTTTAACAGAGACCGAACAAAAATCATTGTTCCTATCGACATTTTTATATTAGTGTGGTAACACGATCCGCCTTGGAAAATCAAGTTATATAAATCGAAATTAATAATAAGATTATTAATGAAAATATTATGATGATCGTTCGATATAAAATGTTACGCGTAAAGTTAAAAAAGTAAAAAAAAAAAGACATTATTCATAATCATAATACGATCACGTACAATGTAGAACGTAAAAACGTAATAACGACGGTTAGAATAAAAAGTAAAAAAAAAAAAAAAAAGAAAAAAAAAAGAAAGAAAAAAGAAAGAAAATAAAAATAATTTTTTTCGAACGCTTCTATACGTGATCCGCTTTGTGATTATACATGCAGATTGATACTGTCAAATATTTAGAGAATTTTTTAAAAGGACAACAAATCTCGTCTCTATTGATAGAGAAATTCATTAGTCTTTATTTTCTTTTTTTTTTCTTCTTTTCTTTTTTTCACGATCAATGGATAGAATTTTTCCATTGAATAAATAAATCGAACAAAGAGTACGAGTACACGTACAAAAATGCATGTTCGGAAAGGAATTTAAAAATTCAACCGAAAAAGGGGAGAGAAAAGGATAGGTTTTCGATCGAAGAGTTTTCCTGTTCGAAAACACCCTAGTCCCTTGATAACCGGCTGGCAGCCCATTTTCTTCGAGTAGTATCCCGCGGATGACAGCGTTTCTTCGGTAAATGCCACGCAACTTGAGCGAAATGGAAACCGAAATGAAACGGAAGCTTCGAATAGCAATCGAGCCAGCCGTCAATGGCAGGAATCCTCGTGACTCCAACCCCTATATTCCGATTATTTATTCGCACCCTAGTGTGCTTCGATTTTTCATCCAATTTTTTATGAGTTGAAAAAGAGACGAATACCGAAAAAGTGAAAACCTAAGCGAAGAAAAAAAAAGATAAATAAATAAAAAGATCGAAACGAAAGAAAAGAAAAAAAAATGAGAAAAGTATCAAGAAATACCAATGAATAGCCGCGAAGGGTCAATTATTGATCTTTCAATAGAGTGGAAAATTATATTGGCAGACAGTAAATATATATATATGTATGTGTGTGTGTGTGTGTGTGTGTATAGTATATATATAAACAATCTATGTAAAGAGAGGAAGAAATTGTTTTAACCTTCCGTTTCTCCTTCAAAGCTTCTGAAGCTTTGGTCTGTTATCAGTACGGAACAGAACGTCTCACGTTTACTCTTTACGATCTTGACTGGAATACTCTTAGAGAACGTAAGATTCCTAATATTAAAAGATAGAGAGAAAGATAGATTTATGGTGTTTATTAACGAACTAGTTTATCTATGTGAATAATTAAAAGACTGTATCTGATAGATATTAATAATTTATTAAAAATATCCCTATAGAAATATCCCTATAGAAAAAAATATTTTTCATACGAATGTCCCAATAAAATCACAACCGTTGTAAAATACATCATTAATGTGGAACAAATGGGAGTGTATGTGTATGTGTGTGTGTGTGTGTTTGTGAGAGAGAGAGAGAGAGAGAGAGAGGGAGAGAGAGGAAGAGATAGGTAGAAAGAAGAGAAAAAAAATGAATAATGTAAAAGATCGTACCGTTGAGCACGTGGACGGAGACGACAGTGACCGCAGCTATGTCGGCCAATGCGCAACTATAATTCCCACTGTCTTTCTTATTCGCATTGGCAATGTAGAGCCTCGAAACCGCTCCGGTCGACCCCATGTCGGTTTTCACACTGAAACAGAAAAACAGAAAGCACGTAGGAACGTCTAAGGAATTTCTTATCGTTCGAAGTGAACCTGAGTGAAAGTGGAAAGAAAAACTCGAACATTCTCTGTGTGTTGTTCATTCAGTGAATAAGAGGGAAAAAGATAGAGGGTAAGAGTAGAAGAAGAGAGAAAGAGAAAGAGAAAGAGAGAGAAAGAAAGACGAGGATATAAAGAGAGACGTGGGAAAAGAGAAGAGAGCGTAAATCAAGTTGCCCTTTTCCTCTCGATTCTGTCACCGACGGATCGACCATTTCTCAAGAGTCTACTTCTCTCTTTTTTTTCTTTTCTCTCTCTCTCTCTCTCTCTCTCTCTCTCTCTCTCTCTACCTATCCCTCTCTCGCTTTTCTCCTTTTACTTTTGTTCAACTCGAACTATAAGAGAAAAAAGAAATAAAAGAAAGAAAAAAGTAAAAGTTTTAGGGGAATCACATGTGAGACTCTTGTTATGATCCTGGGATTTCTTTTATTCTTATTTTAACTTTCTACAAAAAAAAAAAAAAAAAAAAAAAAAAACAAAAGAAAAAAAAACAAAAGAAACAAAAAAAGAAAGAAAAAAAGAAAAAAATTTCAACGTCGCTATTCGATCATTAGCTTGATCTAAACAAATTATTCATATATTAAGCGATATTATATAAGCTATATCGAATACTTTGTGTTCATTGAAGAACTCGTTCTTTCTTCTTTTTCTTTCTCTCCCTCTCTCTCTTCTTTTTTCTCTCTCTCTCCCTCTCTCTCTCTTTTTTCTTCTTTTTCTTCTAATAAAGATAACAAGAACGCTTTGCGTTCGAATGTCTTCCTTCAATTAGGATAATTATAAAGAATACTATACTGATTGTGATATTAATCAAAAGAACAAAATATGTAGTGATAAAACGGCTTATAAAAATCGAAGATTGGCCAACGTTAGTTTAATCTATGGTTAGGAAAGTCTAAGAAAGGGCAGAAGTTAAAGAGAGAGAGAGAGAGAGACAGAGAGAGAGAGAGAGAAAGAGAGAGAGAGAGAGATAAGTTCTTGAGAAGCAAGTTCTTCTTAGTCCTTTGCACGATAAACGTTCTTAGATGAAAACAAGCGCGCAGGCGCTCGTATTGAAGTTAGAAGGAGTAAAGGAGACCATTAAGCAAGAACTACAGCAAAGTCCGTTTGGATATGATGCGGAAGGAAGACGGATTTTAAGGACCGTGAGAGCGGCTAAGGAGGTCGGCAAAAGGACGATATCCAAAATGCCGCAGGCTATGCAAGAGAAAGGGAGAGAAATAGTGAGACAGACAAACAGAGAGAGAGAGAGAGAGAGAGAGAGAGAGAGAGAAAGAGGGAGAGAAAGAGATAGAGAAGGAAAATAAGGCTGCTGTCAGTGCATTCCTCGCCTTGGACCAGTTTAAAAATTCATTCGGATTGCCGAGATGCCAGGAAACGCATCCTGTGGCCCGATCCACAGTTCTTCTCATCCTTCGACTCCTGATGGAGTCCTTTGAGAATAACGCATCGAGCACTTCTCTATCCTTATCTAATGAAAGTAACAAGTGTGTGTGTGTGAGAGAGAGAGAGAGAGAGAGAGAGAGAGAGAGAGAGAGAGAGAGAGTTATAAGAGCGTTAAAAGCACTTGTTGCCACCCCGTTATCGTACTCTCCTTTCTCTCTTTTTTTTCTCTTTCTCTCTCTCTCTCTCTCTCTCTCTATTCTTCTTCTTCTTCTTCCCATTCTTCACTAGTATAATAGAAACTCTTTCTTTCGTTATCATGAGAACAAAAACAATCGTTTCGTCAAATATTTGTCATTATGATGGATCGCGAAAGAAAGAAGAAAGAAAAGGATATTGATAGAAAAAAAAAGGAAAAAAAAAAAAAAAAGAAAAAGGATTCGTTTAAACATCTCAATGTTTTTTTTTCACAATTCGAGATATATAAGTTCATCGAGAATTCATTTCATTATTTTCAACGGTACATCGTAAAAATTCTGTCACTACGACGCGCTTGTAAAAAAAAATGAAAAAGGGAATAGAACAAAAGGACGAGAGAAAGAGAGAGAGAGAGAGAGAGAGAGAGAGAGAGAGAAAGAGAGAGAGATAGGAAGAGAGATCAAGCTAATAGAGACATCGTGTAAAACTTTAACGACACGACAACGATGGATGTCAGGTAACGCATATTATCTAGCGTTGAAATTATTGGACGGCTGTGGTGGCCATCGTCGAAATCTGTCGATGCGATATTTCACCAGTGGGGAAACTCAAAATCGCGGAACGGGAAGATAACAGCCAAACTAACGGGCTACTCGATGTAACACCTTCTACTATTGTATACATATACACTCACACACATATTTACATTGACATTCTGTGTTCACGTCATATGGACAAAAGCTTGCTGGGAACAGCCGGTAGTCTCAGTACTCCGCGGAAAGCACGCGAGATCGAGCCGCGTCACATTGTGGCTCAGGCCAAAATTTCCTCACGATTGGCATCCCTGCGATAGGTACGCACGAACCTATACATATACATATACATATATATATATATATATATATATATATATATATATATATATACCTACATACGTAACATGGTTTGCCATTTCGAACCACCGAACATTGCCATCACCCTTTCATTTCTCTCTCTCTCTTTCTCTCTCTCTCTCTTTCTCTCTCTCTCTCTCTCTCTCTTTCTCTTCTTCTCTTTCTCTCTCTTCTTCCCTCCTCGCCCTTTTCTCCCGCTTATTGGACACATTTACCGCATTGTACCGCAACCGTGTACCGCACATACCCCTTCTTCTCTCTTCCAGCAAACATTCGTAACCGCGAAAATTTTATACAAACGACTGCCTTATCCAGAAACCACGATAGCTTCTCCCTTATGTCTCATACAGTTAACCTAGCAAATCTTTGTATCAGGAAATTGATGGTTTTCTATAATCATGACCAATATTTTCAGATTTCAGACTTGAAAATGTGGATGTATTGTACTTACATTACCTTTATCATTTTTTCTCTTTGATGAATAAGATATTTATTTTTGATTTTTTTTTTCCGTTCTTTTATCCGTTAACAAAGATCATCTTTGTTAATAAAAGTCTAATCTGACATTGTTCAAAGATAATTTTTTGTCATTTAATTAAAATCTAATCTCTCATCGTTCCTAGAAAGTACATAAATAATTCCTTAATGAAATTTCTTGATTACGGAGAAATACAAATATCCGTTATTGTTCGCAAAGTTGAAAATGTATTAACATTCGAAGGAGAGACATGATAAATAAATTATGCGTTATGAATCTGTCATTCGCAAAATTTTGGTTGAAGTTCAAAATATTAACAAAGATAGAGACAAAAACAGAGATAAAGAGAAAGAGAGAGACAGAGAGAGAGAGAGAGAGAGAGAGAGAGAGAGAGAGGGAGAGAGAGAGTGTGTGAGGAAGAGAGAAAGAAAGTGAGGAAGAGAGAGAAAGAAAGAAAGAGAAAAAGAGACAGAGACAGAGAGAGAGAGAGAGAGAGAGAGAGAGAAAGAGAGAGAGATAGAGATAGAGAAAGAGATTAAGGAAGTACTTCGACTTCGTTTCGCCGAGAAGGGTTTATTCGTACACAGTTTCCTGCTCTAGAGTTAAACAGGAGAAACTTCACGGTCCGCCTATTAATCCAGCCAAGTTAGATTTTGAATTTCGCGACGTTTAATACTCTTAGCTTCTACGGAGTTTATTAGGATTCGAACTTAACTCGAAATTGTGAATTTTGTTCCTCGTGCCATCATCCAATACCATTCCCATTATCTCGTAACATTCTTTTCTATATCTCTAAAGTATGTATGTAAACTTGTTGGAATTTTTCCTCCGAAGGGAAAAATGAAAATTCGATTTACCAGAAAGAAGGTTGAGAGCTAATATCCTTTTGATCACGAGATATAACGCGACGGAATAGAGCGATGAAGGGAAGGTTGGAGAGTAATGGAGAGGACGACTTTTCAAAAGAGAGAGAGAGAGAGAGATACCTTGATTACGAGAAATAATATACAAAAGCTCCAAAGAGAGATCAAATTAAAGTATGAGAGAGAAATTCGATACACTGACATAATTATTAAATCTTATTCTCGATAAGGTAACAAAGCGTAAAAGCAGAACAAAGGAGAGCCCTTTTGTCTCGCTTGAATAAAATCTCCGATTTGATCGTAAAAAGTAAGAAAGAAAAAGAAAAATAGGGAAGAGAAAGAGAGAGAGAGAAAGAGAGAGACAGACAGACAGACAGAGAAAATGGATAAAAAGATAAAGAGAGAGAGAGAGAGAAAGAGAGAGAGAGAGAGAGACAAAGACAAAAATAAAAAGAAAGAGAGATCAAGGAAGGAAATAAACGAATTTTCCCCGCGAAAGTCGAAAAAGGGTCCTTCCCCGATACCCTTGCAACATCGTTCGAAGGCCATAGGCAATTAGTGACAGTCGTACTCTCTTAATGACATTCCCACGTCGATCCAGGATCGCCTTGGTTTTATCCATTTATCCGGCCGCGTTCCAACCGTTCTTCGAGAAAGCAGAACGTCCGATATCTCTTCTCTACCGTTCACCACACCCTCCTCTATCACTTCTCTATCTCACTCCTATACCTTCTCTTGACTTTAGCTTCTTCTCTTTCGGCATCACCGTTTTATATTCACAAGAATTTAATTTTGCGCATTGCCCTCAACTACTTCTCTACTTCTCGCTGCATCATGGAAGTAAGAGAGAGAGAGAGAGAGAGAGAGAGAGAGAGAGAGAAAGAGAGGGAGAGAAATCAATGGATATCTCGAGCTTCAGCTCATCCTTATAACAAATTATTCGTTCGATGCTTCGGATATCCGTCGATGTTCTGTCTCCTTCTCATCAATGCTCTATTCTCCTTCTCTCTCTCTCTCTCTCACTCTCTCTCTCTCTTTCTTTCTCTCTCTTTCTTTCTCTCTCTTTATTCGCCTTATACTTCTTCTTTATTTTTACTGAAAGCTATAGATCCCATTTC